GCAAAAATATTATGGTGTCATCAAAAAACTTAATGGCAAAACAAATATGGAAGGAATTTTTCATGCAAGTCACAAGTGCTGTCCAATTTCAAATTCTAAGAAATATAAAAATATTTAACCTAAGGTTTACAAACTTGATCATCAAGGCATCTAAAAAAAAAGAACTACCATTTATGTCCCCATCAAGTTAAAAAATTATATCCTATATTATTATTTTTATAAAAAAATATATTATATCTCGGGTCGGGCAGGGTCAATTGGTTTGATACCCCAGCCCTAAACCCTGCCCAACCCGAAGATCGAGCTCAGCCCGACCATGCCCAAACAGAATTGGGCAATTTTTTTAAGGCTCGGGTTGGGCATATTTTGCTCGGGCCTGGCCGGACATCTCGGGCTCATGGGCATCCTGCACAGGCCTAATAATGAACATGAACTCTACGTCAAGAGAACAAAATAAAATAAAATTTCCGGAGTACAATTTTTGAGAGAGAGAGAGACGGCAAAGAGTGGAGTTTTAAAACAGGATAACACGGGAGAGGAATTTCTCCAATTTTTTTTTTTATTTTTTTTTACTTCTTTCATCGTGACCATTCATTAATTTTATAATTTTAAAAAATTTATTTAATAAAATAATATATATTGTTGAGATGGGAGGAGTAAAGAAAAATAAAGGGAAAAAATGAAGAGAATCTTGATTTATAACAAAGAGTGAATGAGTGGCTTTCAAATGGGTTAGTGGATTGACTTAGAATGTGGGAGGAGTGATGAGTTGGCAGTAACGGAGGGTGGATTGGGTGGATGGGAAATTGCGGACTTATCGGGCGTGAGAGGAAGAATGGAAGATTGAATGGTTCAAACTTCAAGGAGCGGGGGGGCGGGGGGCTTGGTTCTAGACAAACGAGAAAGTCCAAATGATAAGATATGGTAAAAGGAAAAGGAATTTGAGGGCCCCATCTGTCTATCCAAACACTTGAAATCGGAAGCTCGATGCTTAGATGGGCAAGCAGCGGATTCCCACTGCTTCTTCATCATGTTCCCATTTTCTTATTTGTCCCTAGCTGTTTCAAGTCACCGGGGCCTGCTGATTGCATTTCTATTTTTATATCCATAATCCATCCTTTTCTTCTTATCTTTGCAATATTCATTTTTCTCCCGACTAACAGTGATAGGTCATTATTGATGAGATAACAGCCCCAGGGGGAAAAAAAACAAGCAGCGACAGCTCAAACTTCCTTGAGAAATACTCTCTCTCTTTTTTATAAATAATAACAACTGCAAATAAAAATCGTACAGAACAGTAAAAATCAGCTGATAAAAAAGTCAGAGTTTTCTAATCTTTTCCACCGTTGCTGCCCATTGTTTGTGAATCTTTCTAGTCAATGACATTTGAAGAGATTTAGTAGATGATCCAAGTCACTCTTGACTATCAAAATTTTAGGATATGAATTCCTTCCCTTAAGAATATTTTTAATAATTTTTTAATTGTTGAAAACAATTATGATATTCATAAAACTAGATAGACCAAGACCATCCAAATATTAACCATTTAATAGCAAATCCGAGCTCCTTTAAAAAATATGCCAAATGCTTGCTTGAATTGGAGAGCTATGTTTTCTAAAATTAAAAAAGATAAAATCCATGTAAATAAGGATTTTGATCTCCTTAATTTTCTGACTAGATCCTTGCATCACCTTATTGAAGTCTATGAAGAAAAACCATCCCGGTCTTTGAATTGCTTTTGCTAACTGTAAGTGCTTTGAAAGGGATGTTCTATTTCGAATGGCCGTTCCTTTCTCCTCACAAGATAGCACTTGAAAAGTTGAAAGGTGCCATTTTTATTTTTGAATTATTTGTAGAGGTTGTGCTTCCTTTGATTGATGCTTAAGTTTATTCCTAGCTTCCCAAATAAAATGCATAATCATAAGGAGCTACTAAAGATGCTCGCTTTAGTTGATTATGATTTAGATTGATTTACCCAGCAAGAAATGAAGCTTTTCATGTTTTCCTAGGTGTTGAACTAGGCAGAAATATCGTAACCATACCAGACAGCTCTTGCAAAATGATAAAAAGAAAAATATGATCAAATATTTCATTATGATCATTGTAGAAAGGGCATTTAGCTGTGATTGAAGATGATACTTTTAAAGTATATCACAAGCAGGGATAACCTCATTTAGAATTTTCTTGCTAAACAGCAAGAATGGATAAGGCAAATATTTTCTAGAAGAATTTTTAGTCGATCTCTTGTGTAGATTGATTAACATTTAAGTTATCTCATATGAGAATCTTGTAATTGTAACCAACTTTAGCAGAATGAGTCCCTTTAACTGCTTTAGTCAACGTCAGACGATCACCTTGATTGAAAAGAGAAGAAGATGTGCCTATAATTTCCTCATCGATTTTGCAATGATAAAGAGAAGAAATACACTGCTCATCCCAAGCAACTTTATCTTGATCAATAAAATCAACTATGGTTAAACTTCTACTATCGATCTATCTTATCAGAAAAAATCATTTCACATAGTCAATTGAAATCTTTGTTTTATCACCAACTTGTCATTTCAAGTTGTCCATAGTCAAGTATTGTTACGTTCCCTTAATATAACACTAGTTATGTCCAGAGCTCATGGTTGTGATTTAATTTATTACACAAGGGTATATTTGGTAATAGTTGATAAATATTGCATCACAATCCATTTGAGTTTTGATTATAAGCCCAAAAAAACTTTTTTTTTGCCAACATTAAGAAAATGGTTATTCTTAATTTTGTTAAAATTTGAGTTCACTCTCATAGCATATCTTCATTTATTGTGCAAAACTAGCAATAGTTTTATTTTTGGTATGGATGCTATCCTCTTTCATTCTTTTTTTTAATCATTAGATCAAGATTTAAACAATTTAAATTTAATCTCTTATAAAATTATCATCAAAATATTAAATTATAAAAATATAAATAATAAAATTCAAACTGTTAAAATTTAATATAAAAATAATTTAAAAATAAAATGAAATGAAATAATTTGAAGGAGATTAAATCTGAAGTATCTAAATTTTTAATTTAATAATTAAAAATTGAAGAGAGAAAGAAGATGAAAAGGAACAGGAGAGGACCTTTTTGTTTTCTCGTGAGACGATTGGTACATTTTGCTTATTCGTGAGATTGGAATAAATGCTCTTTGAAAGTCCTAGATCTAGGACCATTAACGCGTGCACTGAACTTGTAATCAATGCCACGTGATACGTATATACTCGTCCCGCGTAACGAATTCAACCAGCTAGCAAGTTGAATTCACAACGACTCTATTTGGTCATGCTTCAAATTCACAAAACGCTAATCCTTAAAAAAAAAAAAAATTATGCATAAGTCTTATAAAATAAATTTATTTATAAATAAATCTTACAAAATTTAAAAACTATAGTGATATCTATTGAAATTTGAATGTAATTTAAAATTAGAGTGCAAACACAACAATGCTCCTATTAAAAATATATTACTTTAATAAAATAATTTATAATTATTTCATCAATAATTTATAATTATAATTTTAACTTTTTACATTAAATATTCAAATTCTTTAACTATTAGATATGTAAAGTTACAGCTGTAAAAAGTTAAAATGATAATTATAAATTATTAATTAAATAATCGTAAACAATTAATGTTAAACTTTTTAATAATGGTAATCAATTTAACTAATAGACATGCAAATTTATATTTTTTTAACAAAAGATATGTGAAGTTATAATTATAAAAAGTTAAAGTAATAATTATAAATTATTAATGAAATAGTTGTAAATTATTTGATTGATATGATGTATTTTTAACAATAGCATTATTATCTTTTGACTTCAATTTTAAATTACCCTCAAATTTTAAAAATTTAGTTATAGTTTCTGAATTTTGGTGAACTTATTTATAAAAAAATTTATTGCATGAAACCTATATATAATTTTTTATTTTTAAAATAGTTCATTTGAATTGAAAGTAAAATTTAATTGCAAGAAAAGTAAAATCTAAGTTTGCAAATCTAAATAAAAAAGTACGAATCATACCAAACAAATAAATTTATACTCCACATAAACTAATCCTTCTATTTTTATATATAAAATATTTTATAGAAACTTATTTTGTATCTAAATATAAAAAGTGTTAATGTTATGATATTTTTAAATAATTAAAATTTTTGCCCTTATCTTAAAAAAAATATTAATTATATGTTTTATCCAACATTACTACTATGATATTAATTGAAATTATGTGAAGCAAAATTAAAAAAGTTACTTTAATTTAATGGAATTTAAACTACATAACAGACTTTAATTTATATGCCTAATTAGGTTAAAAGCACCTTACGCAGGGATGAAAGGAGTATAATATAAGGTATTTTATAGGATCTTGGTAAAAAAATATAGGATATTAAATAATTATCATAATTGTTTTCAATTATATTCCTCGTTCATTTATTATTTTTTTATTAAAAATTTAAAATTTTAATTATCATTATTAAGATAATGTTTAACAAAGATATAAATAAAAGGATGCAATTCTTTTAAAAAAATGACCCGTATAAAGGAGTATGGTTTAAAAATGACCGTATAATTATTTCATATTAGACCAGAATAATCAAAAGAAGCCTTTAAGATGAAATTGACGCAATGTCAACATCATTAATCACATTATAATACCAACATTGATATTAGTATAAACTTCATAAAAAATCATACTCTATCCAATCAGCACCCCTTCCCCGATCCACGGTAAACTTGCGCTGATAAATTCGGATTCTTTTCTCTTATGTTCAGCTTGTTCTCTGGAAACTCCCGCGAGGAAGGAAACTACGAAATCCTCAAATTTCGTGCTAACCAGGAAGGCATATTTGCTAAAGGAAAGAAAGTAACCAAGTCGTGTTATATATATATATATAATATTAAAAAAGGAAATAGATACGTAAATAAATTAGTTTCCTTAATTAATAAAAGGAACAAAAAGAAGAAGCTTCATGCGCACCGCACAAGAAGACGAATTCCGGTCTGCCTACTTCGTGAATTGAACGCGACCAGAGAAACCGCCTCTCTTTCTCCATTTGCCTACACATAAGTAGTTTCTTTCCGCAATTTCCTGCAACTTCCTCTACCTTCCTCGTGATTCTTTGCATCCCAAGTTTGTTTTGATTTGACACCGCAATAATATATCCCTTGTCTCCGAGGGAAGAGAGAAGTTGAACTTTGAGTATCATTCCGTTAACACTTCTATTCCGAAAAGCAAAACACGTAAAAATCCCAGCTACTCTTTCTCCGCAGAACTTGCTGCTTTTTTACATTCTAAGGTGACTTAACATTGGTCTCAGTCTCTTGCAATTTTCTCCTTTTAAGGCGTTAGCGATCTGGATTTGTTCTGTGACTTTCATCTGATCCATTGTTCTGGTTTCACGAAGTTGGGCTCCTCTCCCTCTCTCTTTTTTATATCTCTCAATTGCCCCCTTTTTTCAAGTTGGGTTTTTAGCCATGCTTCCAGTCGGCTTGGTGATTTCTTGTATTCAATTTCTCTGGATTTTGTGGTTTTGAAAGCGTCTGTGTCTGATTGGACCCGGGCATGTCTCTAAAAAATTCTCATTGGTTAATTTGTATTGTTTGTTGATTACGATGGAATCTTTGATTTGCTTATCTTGCTAGATCAATTGGTGTGGCTCTAATCCTAGCTCGTGTGTTTTGGTCAGGCTTAAATCCAGGATTGCCGGAACAGATTTATCAATGGTAAGAATTCTTTTATCCCTTCTATTTTGTCGATGATGTAGAATGGTCGCCAAACGGTCAAGTTTTCAGAATAATGTGGTTAGATTACGATACTAAAATCTGGATCGAAGTGATTTTGGCTTTGTTGTATCTAATCTTTCATTCTCGTGATTCTCAGGGCGAAGCACCGGCATTCCTTGTGGACAGTTTGGAGAAAGGACATGCAAATGGCTTTGAATTAGAAAACGAAACTCGAAAAACTGCTACAATCATTGGGGATAAAACGGTATGGTCATACCGAATACTCTCTCAATTTTTTCCCTACTTTTTAACCAGATATGTACCCAGAGTATAATTATCTTCCTAAATGAAAAAATGGTCCTCCATTTTTGATAGTATGTCATTGGTGGAGCTGATGATGAAACTTCGCGCATTGAAGTTCAAATCTTTGACCGTGGTCTTGGAGAATGGTCAGTTTAAGGTTTCTTGGCTTCAAAGCTGCTTCTCTCAGCCTCTTGTTGCTGATTTCCAATTTTTTGTGCAGGGTTAATCCCACTGTGCTCGGAACCAAACCAGTCTCCTGTAAAGGCCATTCAGTCGTGCTTCTGAAGGACCGGATATTAATTCTTAAGAAGGGTGCTAAGCCAGATGATCACACTTGGTTTTTGGAGGTTGTTGTTTTTTAGATTCAACCCTCTTATCTAAGTATCTGCCCCCTATTGCCCTGTGTTTTGTCTTTGGTATTTTCCGTTAGAGGCATCCTCATACCTTGTCCATGCTTCATTCCCTTTTTGGGCGATCTTAAGGGCGCACTCTCCTATGTCATCCCCAAAATTCTTACTTAAGAAGATAACCTACTTTAAGGAGATACTAGATCTTCTTACTAGCTAAGGTACTACTTTTTTGTTGATGCTTAATTTTTTCATTTGCTCAAAATTGGCAGGTAGACACCCCGTACGTCAGGCAGCAGCAAAAAGTTCTGGGGACTCGGGTTGTCGCGTGGAGCAAGGGTGTGATAGGCAATGCTGAGAAGCCTATTGTTATCAGTGGTCCTTCTGGAGTTGGCAAAGGAACGTTGATATCGATGCTCATGAAGGAATTCCCTTACATGTTTGGTTTCTCAGTGAGTCACACTACCCGCGCTCCAAGAAATATGGAGAAAGATGGGGTACATTACCATTTTACAGAGAGGAGTGTCATGGAGAAAGAGATAAAAGAGGGAAACTTTCTTGAGTTCGCTTGTGTTCATGGTAATCTCTATGGGACCAGTGCTGAGGCTGTGGAAGTGGTAGCTGATGCAGGGAAAGTAAGTTCTTTTTACTCTCATGTTTTACATTACATTTAGTTGAAGACAAGAACTCAAGCAAAAAAAAAAAAAAAAAACTAAAGTATTTTTTGAAAGGAATTTGATTCTTCTGGATGCTATTGAGTCGATCCAAACAAATCTTTCTGGAGAAGCTTCACTGGAAGGCTTCTTTTTGCTAATGGAGAAAGGACATGCAAATGGTTCTAAACTCATGTTTTACTTCTGTAACTGTTTGCTGCCGCGTATAGTATGATCGCTTTTGCCTGTTCTGATGAAAGAAGTTGGCACCCTTGTCATGCGCATGACAGAATCTCATTTTGCATGCTATATGGTCTCTGTTGCTGACACAGAATAATTGATGTTTACATTGTGAGAGCACAACTAATATCTATAAAAAATAATAAATTGTAGTTACCCTCTCCATGTTATTCCTTTTAATCTTGACGAGAAATGAGGACATATGCCCGGCTTATTAATAAAAGATCCACATCTTACTTGGAAGTAATATTAGGTTTTTTGTTTTGTTATTATTGCAACCTCATAGGCAATGTCTTGAAGAATTTTATCTGATTTTTTTGAATAAAATCAAAATAGTGAAGCCATTTTTCCTTTTGAATCAGAGATGCATTCTTGATATTGATGTCCAAGGGGCAAGATCTGTGAGGGCTAGTTCACTTGAAGCCATATTCATCTTTATTTGTCCCCCGTCAATGGAAGAACTTAAAAAACGCCTCCGCGACAGGTGAACAACAATGATCGTTTCTTTGTCTGGTCTCTGTAATCCTAAGATTCCCCAAAATGTTGATCCGAATCTCTTATGTCTTGAGCAGAGGGACGGAGACAGAAGAGCAGATCCGGAAGCGGCTACAAAATGCTGAGGCAGAGATTGAGCAAGGGACATCATCAGGCATATTTGACTATATCTTATACAATGACAACCTTGAGGAGTGCTATGAGAATCTTAAAGTAACTCTTCACTGCTTATTCCCATATTTCTCCGCTGCAAGATATTTTTCTATACAAGTATTCTGATATAGAATATAAATTGGTGTAGAAACTATTGGGACTTAATGCTGATGTTACTTCTCAGCCTAAGTCAGGTAAGAAAAACACCTGAGTTGTATTATTATGATCTTAGTTTTACTATATTTTACTGTCATGAGGATTGACAAAGGTTTTTAATCTGTTAATTCAGGCCCCAGAGAGATTAATCTACCGGAGGATCACAGAGTTTCGAAAGTTGATGACAAAATCATCATAAATTGCCTCTCCTCAGGACTGGAAAAGGAATCAAAGAACTTGTAAGATTGTGAAAACACTGCTTACATAATATTGCGATGAAGTATGAAATTCTTTTCTAACTGGATTTGGATGATCAGGATTGTTTTGGACGTCTCCTCACTTAAAGGGGGTGCTCCTGGACGGACAAGAGGGCTAGATTTTCAAGCCATAGATTCGTTTTCAGACGGCTTGGTGGGGATGGATCAGCAGAGCTAACAGTTGATGAACTTAGCCACTACTGACTTTGGTTTCTCAATTCATATATAACTTCGGAAATTTGGGGAGGGGGAAGTGAACATTAGATTTGATGTTTTGAGCTCTTTTTTCCTTCTTTAATTGTTATGACATTTGACTTGATGATTGGTGCCACCATTATTATGTGCCTAAGCGGGCAATGAGCAGCAGTTTATGTTTTTTGCGGCTCAACTATGTTCCACCAATGGTCTCTTTGTTTTCTGGAAGGATCTCAAAAATTGCAAGACATAAATGAGTCGCCGGTTTAACTGAATCAAATTAATGCCTTGTGATGGGGAAATCAATCTGAATGTGTGGGTCTCTATCATTGTTGACACCTATTCTTTGTATTCATGGGACTACCTACATGTAGGGTGGATATTTGGGGCCCTTGGTGCCACGCGTGGGTAGTTTGGTTTCAACTTTTAATCAAACTACAAGACAAATGGTCCAATTGCCAATGCGAACTGAGATCTGAATACCCATATTGGTGCAACTACTGCTACTACTCGTGCTCTGTCACAGCGTTTGTCTTTCTAAATTGGCTTCAGAGTTTGAAATAGCGAAAGGGACACGACAAGACCGGGTGGGGGACATGAATTGGGCCAGGCTAGGTCGGCTTGCGAATCTAAACTTGTCCGTAGTACATGACTCTGCCCCTTGGTGTTACAGAAGAGGCATTCTTTCTTAAATCAGTAAGGAGGGCAGCCTCATCATGGCTTGAGATAATCAGCCAAGAGGAAGTATATTTAAGATTTCAACATTAAAAGTTCAAAATAAAAATATAATTATATTATAATTATCTATCTAAAAATAGTTATTGAATTTCAGTTAGCTTTCGAAAACTCAATATGTACTATGAAATATAAAATAATTGATAATACTACTTTTGAACTGTTCAGATTAGGTATTGCATCTTTTTATGCTGTTTATGATGGATTTATGAATTTTTTTAATTGAATAATAAATAATAATTTAAATAAAATTTCGTGTTACTATGTATGTATGTATGTAATATTGTATTCCAAGCTATAACCTATCATGTATCACAAACAACATCATGGTGGTGGGGGAGATAACGCACGCAGAGCATCTTTGGCGAGTTCAAATTCAGGGGTTGATGTTCATTTGTATGATCTTAAAGAGTTAGAAAAAAGCCTACTGCTCACTCGTTAATTTTGATATTTGTCAATTTACGTTAACTTATCCAACCTGCGAGTGAATCAACTCGCGAGAGCAATTGGCAGAGGTTTAGGTTTTCCTGCTCAGCAGTTTTTGGTAGCGAATCCAAAGGGATGGGACCTGTCACATGGGCTAGTCGGTGCCCTGGCCCTAAGGTGCGAATAGATTCGACACAAGTGGATCAATTAATTAAAGTTTGACTTTGAACGATTGGTCTTGCTTTATTTTAAACAAAGCATCTTGATCTTGCTAAAAAAATTCGGCCTGGTTTGGCTTTATTGGAGGTCGAGCCGTTCTATTAAAGAGAAGGTTACAGTATAAATTTAGGCACCGTTTTCCCAGTTCATATATTATGAGAATGAAATTGCTCATTCTTGTGGCAACCAAACCATCTTCAGAAGCTGGGAATATAATGCAGAGCCTGCTTAGTCCTTACATGCCATATTCCCTTGCCTAACTTTTGCCCAGTAGGGGACCCCCTAACTCCAACCTGCTCCTTCCCTACTCTGCTCTCCGCTTTGTGGTGGATGTCACAGACTCCACGGTACACATGCATAACCCCCTCCCTCTCTTTCTCACTCTCACGCACGCGCACACGTTAATTTCTCTTTTGATAATGAACCGTTCTTGTTTATTTCTCTATAAAAACATTTGGTTCTTGCTCTTTTCTGAAAAGGTGAACAAGTATGAAAGCTTTTTTGTACAATCTCAGTCGACTCCGTGACATGTTTTCTGACACAATTATAAGGTTTCGCAAGCCAATAATGATTTGCCCAGTACAGGGAGTCAATAATGCCACCATACTGTCGCTCTCAAACCTTGAGATCTCCGTCCTTAAAGTCTCAGATGCCAGAAAATGCTTGGAAGTTCAGTACCCAATACTGAACAACACTTGTTTATTTAATTTATGGTGAGGACACTGCCAACCCCAGTGTGAGCAAGAGTTTTAGACTCTCTCTGCCGAGAACTCGCCTTCAAGATCAAATCCCTGAACGTGTGAGCAGTGCTGGTTTTTTTCGGAAGTTGAATTTGAATCAAGAGAAAGGGCATTACTAAGGTCACAAGTAGCACTATTCTCATTGTTGGTTGTAGTGTTCGCAGAAGTTGTATCATTACCAAGTTTTTTTGTGTTCAGAAAACGGCCACCACATCCTCTGGCTCTTCTCATTGCATGCAAATGTCGCGACTCGTGAAGGTAAGGCTGCATATCGCAATAACAACGATTGTGCATCTTATTAGCACAACTACGATCTACATAACATTGCAATGAAAGTCTAAGTTCACCTCATGCATGTATTTAAATATGCAGAAAGGCAAATTATACAACCTCATGTCATTTAATTTGATTGAGTGAAGAATCTTAAGCATCGCAGATTTAGAGAAATGCAACAGACATGCTAGCCACCATAGTTCTACCTTGCCTTCTATTTTTATTTGGAATGGTCGAATGAATAGTGAAGAAAAAAATTCCAAGAGGAGACACGCACAGTTTAGTCTAACTAGCCAAAGTCGTTAAATGATGAGCAAAATATATAAAATCTAGCTGAAGGAAGCAGATTAGCTTCAATATAATGTAGCTTCAATACATAAAGCCTTATATCCCCAAAGACAGAGGCCGCTATGGTTTATGTGGATAGCTATCGTTCATCTTAGTCTTCAAATCTTTTTTTGTTTTTTTGTTTTTTGGTTTGCTAGTTTGACTCAATTAATGATTCCTTACCTCAGAATTTAGATGTATTCGCAACACATAAATGCATGGAATTAAAGCACAATAAGTTACTCAAATCGCTTTGCTAATTCTGATAGTCACACGCAAAGCTTAAGTATGAAGAAAAAGGCATCTTAAGTAATATAAAACAGAAATTGGCATCATGCGCAACTTTCTGCAATTGTCACCCTCCCAGGGCATATTGGATGTGGCTTTTAACTATAACTGTAAAGTGTTTCCGTTTTTTCCTTTTAGCATATCTTTTTGATGTTAACATTGAGAACATGTTGTCATTTAGTTCGGGGCAAACATAGCAAACACAGCAAAAGGAAACCAGATCGGCTATACATTCAGAATACCTTCCTGCCTTTTATCAGCTTCTTTTCCAGCTCAGCCTTGGCACGTAATCGCCTACGCCTCAAAATTCCATGGTATTGCTTGGCATTCACATAAACAGGCTCCTCTGCAATTTCCAGCGGCAAGACCATTTGGGCCGTATGAACTCCTACATCATGAGGATGCGCCTATCAAGATTCCCAACAAAAATGGAGAGGATTGAGTCAAATTAAACGACAACCTTTTTCTGGTATGATCACCAATTACTAGAAAAGCCAGAAAACTCATACAGCCTAAGTTACAAAGGGCAAATACATACCATGATGACCAGAAAATGGTAATCTCTAACCACTTCCAAACAAGGACAAAACTTAGATGTAATTTTCAAGTATTTGATATTAGTTTTGCAAAATAATAATAACTTCAGGTTTTAGACAAGATAATTTATCTGCTAAAGCCTTGAATTTTATCATTACTAGCACATAATTAACAATCCTCATGGAACAGGCAAAAACAAAACGGGAAAAATGAAAGGAAAAAAAAAAAAAACTCATGGCAAGCATCTTGACTCAAATGACCAAGAAGGAGAAAACGTGCTTCATACCAGCGGCTGAGGCCCATGAGTTGGGGTCACCCCTACATAACTGGGACCAGAATATGGGTAAGGGGCACATGCCTGCAAAAAAAAAAAAAATCATTTAGATTTCCCAAACATCACACTTAGTATAAACATATATGCCACCCATGCAAGAGATCAGGCTATGGACGTGTATGGATATATTTTTGTATGTTCGTGTGTGTGTGTGTGTGTGACAGAGACACAGAGTGAGTTTACCATTGAGGGGCCAACAGCAAAAAAATCATTCACTGTTGAAGGCACGCTAGGGACAAGAAGTTGTGTTTGTTGATGTTCTTCATTAGTTTTTCTATCTGCTAATGAAAGAAATATTTTAGTAGGAATGTATCAGTGAGCGATGAGATTTGTCAAATCATAACTATGACAAAAAGAACGTAGAACTTCATAATATTTATTCATGCTAGCGTCGAAGCTACGTAAATTCCAAGGAGCCACTAAATAAGACAATGGCGTATTTAGGTGGTGGCTAGAAGACAAAATTTATAACAAGTATCAAATTTAATTTGATCACCACCTGAAACTTCATAAGATACCTATCTTCATTATTCTTTAGTTATTCTCATAAACTACAGTCTAAACCATTCACATTTCAAATGGACGTGTGCTTTATCATACATCCATAGGAAAGTCGGGAAAACATGACAACCTAAGGTTTAAAACTCCTATGCCCTCAATGCCTGGGAAATCCATTCATGGCGTATGATTGTATCTATCATTGGTCAGCAATCTATTATACAACAAATGCATGAAATTGAATAAATTTTGAATAATTTCAAACAATATAACATGCATGTCGATGAAATATATGGATTCAATAATAAAAAATAAAACTTGAAACTAGTATACCCCTCCTATCAGATTTTCAACCTACTGCTTGTTATTAATGAATTTTCAAAAAGAAATTAAAGTAGAGGGCACTATAAATAATTTTTTTTAAAAAAAATTTAGTTGTTAAAGAATTTATGGAAAAATAATATATTATTTTATAACACAAGCTAATTTGCAAGGATTTCTACCACTAGAAAGCTTGTATTGATTAAATAAATGTTGAATATCTTTTCTTTAACGTGGAGTTGGGAGAAGAGGTTTACATGATGCAACTAGAAGGTTTTGTGGTTCCCGATCAAGAATACAAGGTGTGTAAATTTCTTAAATCTCTTTATGAACTTTAGCAAGCCTTAAGGAAATTATTACTTTATGAATACCTTTGTCCTTGCTTTAGTTTTGGAAGTACAAGCCGCGTTTTTTTTTTTTTTGGTAATAAAAGGCCAAGTAAAACTTGGAAGAAAAGACAAAGAGCATTAGACTTTGTACCCTAAGAAAAATTCATCATGAACCTAAGTTACTCGTAGGGTTTGAAATAAGTTGGAAGGAGCTGAGCCTAACAAATATGTTGCCCATATATACTTCAAAAAACTTTGTGATCGTCTTTATTTCTAATCTTTCTCTGTGTACTTCAAGAATCATTCCCACCAATGAATACTTCCTGTAAATGGTGCAATCCAGTAGCCAGCGCGAGCATTGTAGAGTATAGCCATCTATGATTTCAGCTTTTTAAGAGTTATGCTATGATGCAACCCCACATCAGATAGCTACAAATAATTCTTGTGATACTCAAGTGACGAGAGTTTTTGCCATAACAAGCTTATTTTTAAGGTTGACTTTCTCATGCTTGCTTAGGTCCGTAATGTACATTATGCACAAATTATTGATCCACTAGCTTATGAGCACAAATCTGACCTCCAGAAAACAAGAGTAAAAGACAGAGAAACTTTTAAGAGATTGAAATTTCTTTTCACTTACTTGAAATGGTGCCAATACACTGCATATGTAAAGAGCCAGCAGTAACTTATTAAGAATACCCAAGAAAACTTATTAAAGGACCTCTTTCTTTGACGGCCCCTTCCTCTTCTCTCAGTAGAACGGCCATAGATTTAGCTTGTGATTTGGTGGTTTTGGTCTCAAGATGGTAATCAGCAAAAGTTGGCATAAATGAATTCACTTTACCTTCCATTACGATGCTACTCCAGGAAGCTTCATTACCCAGGCCACGGCACTGAGCTTGAGAACAGGTCACATACAGCTTATTGCTGCTGGTATTTGGATCTGAATGGTCAGCATGATCCAATTTTGGCTGCATGCCTCGCACTAGGTGATTCATTCAGTATCACTCGGATTTCATCTGCCATATGAAAGCACAATGAACATCAGCGGATCCAGTAACAAAATCTTGTAGCCTGTGATAAGGTTTAAATTACAGAATTTCTTGTTAAATTTTGACAATTTCCCAGAGGACATATCTGAAGAATAGCGGGAGACATGTGAGCCAAAACAAGATTATATGAATCCAACAATTTTACACCGGATAGAACATCCCACTTCTTGGATCAATAAAATCACTCTGTGTAAAGTATAACTCACCAACACACAAACATGGAGTTGAATGAACATTAAGAAACCAATTTCATCCAAACTTTAGAGCGTATCTATCCAGTTAACTGAAAATTGACAACACAAGCAATTCGAATGTCCTGCTCTTTCTTGAGGGATATAAGAAACGTATAGGACCCATAACTCGCATTAATAGAATCAGCAAATAACAACCCACATTCATATGCGTATGTGATGGTGACAGTAAGATAAATGGTGGCCACAAAAATTGGAAGGAAAACAGAAAAAAACGTAGAACTCAGAGAAACTAATTAAAGTCTAACAAAATGATAAAAAAAAAAAAAATAGCAACCCGCCTTCACGATTTTGAGGCTCGATGGTCAAAGCTAATCAAATAACCATTTGAAATAAACTGAGGATAAAGAATGCCCAAAAAAAGGTATTAACCGGACAAGTGATAAACGAAGTTAAGAAGAATACAAGAGCACGAGAAAATCTTACTGCTCATCAGACATGGAATGAAGGCACAGAGGTTCTGAATACAGAAAAGGAGAATGGATGAGGGGCACTATGGGACATTGGGACATTCTGTGATAAAACTACCAAGTCTAGAAGACTACTAAATGGATGAAGCCGGCGAAAAGAGATATTTTCCCACGGGGGTTATGCCGATTGCTGGTTAAACAAAAAGAGAATGCAAATATTTAAATAAACAAAATAATAATAGTATCATCATCATCATCATCATCATCATAATACCGGTGTCTCCAACGTCGCTGCCACGTTCTCGCTCAAGAACGTTTTTTGTACATGCTGGGGATTTGCAGGGAGGGAGAATGCCATCAATGAATGGACAAAAAGCGCCTTGGGTTTTCCTCCTAAAATAGCGGAAATGCCCTTCAACCCGTCCACAATTTCAGGGCGCCACTTCCAGCTCTGCTTTTTGGAGTTTTGCTGGATATACTTCACTGACAAAATAAAATATAGTGCATATACAAAAATCAGAAACAGTAAATGTATATTGACAAGCAAAATTATATATTTTCATTAAAGACTCGATATAACCCAAATATAATATACTAGATGATGTTTACAAAAAAAGTAAAAATAACTAACAGGTGAGATTAAATATTAGAGTATGAAAAAAAAATAGTGTTTGTTGGTATTGTGGGTCATTTCAATCTAGAAAACAAAGATAAAAATGGAAAGGTTTAAACTCGTCCAAGGGAAAAAATGGAAAAGGTTGGGGTAAGGGACATCATCGTCCCTGAGAGACAAGGTTGAGGTTAACGAGATTGGATACCTAATATGTAGAATTACAGACAGTAGTCAAATAATTTGACATGACAAAGACTCACCTAAGGAGGAACATGGTCGGAGGGAACGGCGTGAGCAATTATGGGCTGCCACACCAGCAACAAAAGCAAAGTGATTATGGGGCCCACACCCCACCAATAGAGGCCACGTGGTCCTGACACGAGCTCCAAAGCTTGTAACTTGACGTCCTCTTAACGCCGTCTAGTCATCGAGCTGCCGTGATGGTAGACGACAAGCACAAATCCCTTGATGGCGATATTCTCTTGTTAGCCACGTGTCCCGCCAGCCACCCTACTTTTCAGCCATCGTACAGCTCCTGTGCCGTCTGTCTATCTCCACGTGGACGGCAACCCACCGATTTCGACTTGCGGTTGGGGCTGGGAAAATAACAAACTTGATAATTGCTATGGGCCAGCCTTAAGCTTTATAACTTTAAAACAATAGCGGGTCTATAAGAGCCAATTTTAAGAGATGAGGAGCCTAAGTGGACTAATCCTGTGAAGTTGAGAGTTAGCCTAAAAAAATTTATTTTTTATTTATATTTTAAAATATTATTTATATTTATTATGATAATATTATTAATAATTTTTTAAATATTTAATTGTTATATTAGTTTTTTTGAAAATTAAAATTTACATAACACTTTGATTTGTTTAATATTTTTTTGAATAAAGTTTGGTTTGTTGAATTCTAGATAATGATTTCTTTAGAAAAAAATAATTGTTTGATTTAATTTAGATTCCATACAATAATTTAATTCATGTTATGTATGTTTGTTAATATTTTTAAATTATATTTTTTAATAATAGAATATTTTTATACTTATATAATGTTTTATTGTATGACTTGAATTAAGAATTTACAAATTTTATGTTTTATTATTTGAAATAAGGGTATTTTTGCATAATCAAGATTTTGTTGATATTAAAAGTGAAGATGTTATCTATGTGATTTGGACATTAGAGTAAGATTTTATATTGCAGTAGAATAAATAAATTATTTTCAATTTAAAAAATAAAAAAAAAAGTAAAAAGTGCTTGAAGCTCAAAGAACCAACCCTAAACCCATTATGTTTAGAGTTGAGCTTTAGATATCAGCCTCTCAAAAAGTATTTGAGTTTAAATAGGTTGATTTTTTTAGACTTAAGCCTATCAAGAGTTGACCTTTTAGGTTGGGCCAATCCGTTTCCAACTATAATTTTGAGCCATTTGTTCGTTAAGAGAAAACACAAGGTTCTCATAGTTTTATGAAATTTTGTTTGTAGTGTTCGAAATTTTATTTTTAATACTTATACAAATGAAAAGTACAAAGACTTAAAAAATAAATATCATTTAATTTTATTGAAACAATGAGAATTAAAAGCATTAAAAAATTATAGTGATTAAAAACAAAATTCCATGACATTATAAAGATTAATAATTATTTTTTTCTTCCCATATTTATTACAGGTTGGGTTTGTAAAATTAGGAGGAAAAAATGGTGGGGAGGGAACTTTTAGATTTGGGCCCAAAACCAATAAAAACATGGCTGAGTTTGAGCTAACCATAAAACTCTTTATTTTTAATGTTTTTAAAATTTCTCGTTGTCGATACTTAGGCTTAAGTCCCTTTGTTACCGCCCATCTAGGTTCTAAAGCTCGACTGGAAATTTGGGCTCGATCCCCATCTTTCTCATATTTTTCATAATATTGGGTTTCTAAAACGTGGAGAAAAATAGGCCTTGGAAAATCTTGAAAAGAATGGCTAAGATTGATATGGCCCTTTTTGTTTTAATTGGTAATGTCTACCCCTGACTCATTACCTGCTTAAATTCTAGAGAAAATATCAATGTAGAATTTCTGAAATGATTTAATATAGACAAAAAATTTTAAAAAGTAATAAGTATCTTATTCGTAAAGTTCAAGTTCAAGTTCAAGTTCAATTTTTTAAATATCAATGAATGGCTAAAATTAATAAGTAAAGTTCAAATTTTGACAAGTATCTTATCCGTCCAAATTTTATTTGATATTAAATTATTTCAATGGTCTTTCATTGATATTCTCCTTAAATTCTAAATCCCAATGACACATTTTACCTCTTAAGTTTAAACAATTGTACTTTCACTTGTTCATCTCTTTTAACTGATATACACTCTTACTTGATTTTCTCTTTATCTTTCTCACTCAATGTTGTTTGAATTTCAGTTAGGTATAATTAATTTTAAAAATAATTGATTAATATAATTAATTATAATTATAATTATTTATTTTATAACACAATCTATTTGAATATTTTTTTTAAATTAATTTTAACAGAATTGTAAATGTTTAAATGATTTAGTCAAAATTAATTTTAGCTGTATAAATTATCGTAAAGAACATTATTTGTTTAAATTAAATTATTGATAAAGTTGTATCTAATATTATTAAATTTGTTTGAACATGTATGTGATGCTTGTGAAGTTATTTAATTATCATTTGTATCTATAATTAATTAATATGTAACTGTATAGGTTAGATTAACCTTGACTACTAAACAAGATCCTTGACATATAGGTTAGGTTAACCTTGGCTACTAAACAAGATCCTTGACACTTTATATATAAGACTAACAATTAATGGTAGAATTTTAATGAAATTAAGCTAATGAAGACGAGTTATGTTGGAAAGTTGTGTATTTGTCAGCAAGAAATTGGATCACTATCGACTGTTCTAAAGAATAACGATAATATATCATTTTTCCTCATGACAGCTTAAGTTCGATCTCTTCCACACATATTTTCAGCTTCAATATCTCAGCTAAACCACACGTCTAGACTCAACATGCTTAAAATTTACATATCGTAATTTTGGCCTGCGTGAATGACCATCCCAAATAAAAGGACGAACCATTTACGTTGCAAGCCACGTTCCTAGTTCTCGAAGTTTAAAACGCAGAGCTTCAATCCCACGAGAAAATTAACAATATAACCAAAATCACAACTCCTCTCGCCGACACCTAATTTTATACATAGAATCCAACGAATTTGTCAGTTTTCGCAAGATTCTCCCTACGTGCGTACATTGAAAATAAGTAATTAATTAATTAAATGTGTGTAGTCAATAATTGAGAAATAAATTGACGAATACCCGCACGAGGTTCTTCATTGGATTCTCCTTATCCATGTGCTCTGCAATCTCCCTTCATGGGCCTGCTTTTCCCAGGACACCATCATTGTATAATTAACCCTAAACTCAAATCTTAGACTTTTAGTTCACTAATTCCATCACGAAGCCTATCCCATCTTTGGATTCTTGCTTTGTTCCTTTGATCTATGCCTTTTTGGGTACTGTAAAAGATATGGATGACAATCCATCATACCATCTTAATCAACCTCCCACCTTTCCTACTTTAATCTTGTAAAGTCGACTGCGCAACACTTGGCAGGACCAAAAAAAAAAAAAAAAAGAGAACATATGTGTGGATGCTTTTCAGCCATTTATTCAAACGAGAAAAGAGATACAAAGGAGCATAAGAAAGAATTAACTCTTCAAAAGCTTTCAGTTCCACCATATTCAAAAGTGGCTTTCTCTCCTTCCCCCTCCTTCTATGCGTGGAGTGGAGAAGACACAATCTAGGTGATATTCAAAGATGAAAAAGAAAGTTCATATTTTGGTGCCTAAAATTACTTTATAACCGATATATCAAAGAACGAGATGACATGCTGATCAAGTTATTATTCAAGGAGAACTCGTAATCACGCAATAATAATTGAAGCCACTAAAACAACCAAATTTCATGTCATCTGATCTTCAGGCATTACATCAACAAGAACAACAGGTTAAATCAAGTTGAAACTCAAGTGTAAGTAATTTACAAAGCCAGACCAAGATCAGCATCCCAGCCAAAACAAAACAAATGATCCAACCCAGAACAAGAAAAAACCAAAAAGTTTCAAACTTCCACCTGACTAATTAGGGCTACACGTACACACTAAAGTTGTCACAAACTCGGTCACTAGCTTGAAAGAAGGATCAGCGATATGATCAAGGTCGTTAAGTCATTAATGTGTCACAATTTTCTGACCTCTAAACAAACCGAAACACTCGAAGCTCATACATTATTTCGAAGGGCAGAGAAGAAGAACAACTCTATATCCAGGGAAGCGAAAAAAGCTATAGGGATCTTATTTGATGAACAACTAGACGTTACCCTTCTCTTTTTGGGAGCTGGGGGACAAGTAAAGACCTCTGGAATTCTAAACCTTTTAGCCTTCGGAGTAGAACACCCACTTGAACAAACATCTTCTTCGTTATCCTTCTCCACAGTATTCATATCTTGGGCGGTTGAAGTTGAGCTGAAACTTGAACCACAAGGCCTTGCCATTGTTTCTTTCCGCTTTCTCTGCCACTTGACTCGGGTTCTCGTACAAGCTGGAAACATCTCAAGTACTGCTAGCTATATGGGTCCTCGAGCTACACTTTCGCAAAGATTAGTTGAAGAAATAGAATCTCAGTTTGCATAGCTAAAGCTGGAGACAGAAGGTTTCCACTTATGGACAAAACCGTAGAATCAGCGAAAAAAAATTGAAGGTTCATGGCAAGAAACTATGGGAGAGGTTGAAAAGTTTCTGCCATATATCAGCAAAGTCCAGAGCAACAACTACTACCACTAAGAGTTTAAATTCTATCATAAGCGCTTCTACCAAATCCCCAAGGCTATTTATTATTAGAGCGCCTTTCTGCTCTAGGTTATATGAGGTTTCCCTCTTAATCCGAAGGTAAAAGGTAGAATATTAAGGTAACACGGCCTGTTTTTTTAACCTTTTATTATCTGCTTTTACTCTTTACTTTCTGCTAGGGCCTTTTTACTTCGAGGGACAATGACACGATGTGGATACGCATAACATCGGGCCGTTGTCGGGAATATTTTTGTGTCCATTTTCGTGATTTAACCTGACGTTGTTGGTTGATTCACTGTAAGAAGAAAATTAGGAAAATACAAAATCGCCCACCGTGGGGCTCGAACCCACGACCACAAGGTTAAGAGCCTTGCGCTCTACCGACTGAGCTAGACGGGCTTGGTGATACCATATTTTAAGATTACATAATTATTATTTAATCTCTATCCATTCCGCTTTTACTGTTCACCCACCGTGAAAAATAGTCACGTGCGTTCCTTTCAATATATATTTACATTACATTATTATTCTATTATTAAATAAATTATATCAAATTACTTAAAAATAAATTCAATTTTCGATGAAAATACAGTTTTAAACAAAATCACTAAGAAAATTTATTGAAGAAATTGAAATTTTATATAAACTACATATATAATATAAATGAAAAATATAATCTAATGTTTTTCCTCTTGAGCTGAAAATATTGTAGTATTTCTTAATCCAAATTCAAAATAACTCGTTCTGGATAATAAAAAATGATGAAAACATTGCGTACACTATCTGGGCTTACCAATTCCCAGTTAGATGAAAGCTTATGAGCCCTTGAACACAAAGTAGCCTGCAACTTCACCTGTTCGAAAGAAACAGATAATGGAGCAATACTCTAGGCTCTGGCCCAATATCTTATGGGCCACCTCTTTCAAGTAACCTTGTTTTAATTTTTGGGCTAGCAGAGGGAAGCATCTTTTGTTGCGGTTCAAATGCTGGGCTCTTTTTCTTTTCTTTTCTTTTTTTTAAATGCTAGGCTCCCTTTGGTTATATAGAATTTGGAGCATAATCTTAAGGGAAAATTAGGGAGAAGGATCTAATACTACTAAAATTTATTATAAAAAAACCATAAAAGTTGAAATTAGGATGAAGAACCAAAGCATATGTAATTGACTATTATAACCTTAGGACAAAATCTGTCAGCCTTAAAACCAATATGAGGTATTGTCCAAGTTATAAAAAAATTCTTTTAAAAATAAAGTTGTGTAGGTTTTAATTTCACAGTTCACGCCCAGAAGTAAAAAGTAGTATTAAATTTAATTAAAATAATATAATTTTAAAATATTTACTTTTAAATAATTGAATCAATATTATTTTCTAAAAGAATTATTCGATTTTGCAAAGATCGCGTTGTCTCAATTTCTGGACTCATGGATTTTTAAGAGCGATTATATGATTAATTTGTTGTTGTTTCTAGACCTTGATTTAACTTTGTTTTAATTTTCTATTTTTCATCTCCTTATTATATTAAAAATAGCTTTTCAATCAGATATTATGTCCTTGTTAATATCTATCAAATACAACGTGCAAAATGTAATTAGAAAAAATGTAGGAGATATGATTAAAAGTAATATAGTATTTTTAAAATTAATTTTGTCTTTTTAAATGACTATTTTTAAGATTCTCTCCAATAAATATTATTTTTTTAGGTGCTTTGTTAATTTTTCCTAATCTTAGTAGAGAGGAAAAGGTCATTTTAGGTTTTAATTTTATTTCTACTGTGTTTAACCGGCGAAAAATTTCGAAACATAATATTCTCATTCATTTTTTGGTTATGGTAATTCAAATTCAATTTCATCCACATAAAAATTATTTCTCCATTTAACATTTAATATTCAGTTCGTTAGGGTGTAGCAAAAAAATAGGGCACCATTTTCGCTGAATAGTAACACCAAATAGTAATATAGCATAGGCCAAAAAAAAAAAGTTCGTTCTGCTTTTCCATTTTTTCTGTTCTTCCGCAGGTGAAAAATAAAAGAGAACATTATACAGAACAACAATGCAATTATTATTATATTCAGGAAACATTAGTTTGCCCTGCAAGGCTGCAAGTGACAATCTTTAGTCTCCGCTCAAATGCAGATCAACAATGAACACAATGGTTTTCACAGTCAATAATCACATCCACATATGGTTTCAGGGACGAAAAAATATTGGATATGATCATGGCTATGCCAATTCATAATCACCTAACTGTTAGTCCCAACTAATATACACATACAATACCAGTGCAAAAATGCCAAGTAACAAGAAGTTCCCGCTTTATTGGTCTGATTCTGAACCGTATCCTTGCGCTTCATCATCTTCCTGTAATGGCTTCTGAAATGCAAATGGGTGTGGTGGAGCCTCAACACTCAAATTACCATCTAGTACTCTTGCCACCTCCCCCATAGAAGGCCTCATGCGATCATCCATCTGAACGCACCAGAATGCTATTCTCAGTGCACGTTCCAGTTCCTCTATTTCCATTCCACCTTCAATTCTTTTATCAACCACATTTTCAGCTCTCCCTTCCTTCCATTCTCTGTAAGCCCAATCGCGAACTTCCACGTGATTTTGAGAGCCGCTCAACAAAGTTAATACAAACTTCCCAAAATCCTCCACATCCTTCTCAGCTGAAAAACCACAATATGATGCCCGGCCATCTATTCTTGCAAACCCGAAATCTGTCACTTTTGCAGCGAAGTTTTCATCCAACAGAACATTTTCACATTTCAAATTTCCATGGCTAACAAACTCCCTACACCCAGTGTGCAGATAGCAGATAGCTCTTGCCACGCTTGAGCATATCTCTATTCTTTTTCTCCAGGTTAGCTTCCTGCACAGAGTTGGGTCAGCTATATATCTATCCACAGAACCATTTTTGGCATATTCATACACCAAAAATCTATGATTAAACTCACAGCAATAGCCTTCCAGCTTCACAAGGTTCTTGTGATGGATGCTTCCCATCTTCATGACAGCACCTCGGAACTTCCTTTCTTCAATGGATGCATCCAGGTCTACAATTGCAACAAGATGATTGTTTGGTATCAAACCCTTGAACATCTTTAGACCGATTTGGTTCTTGAAGTCCCCAGTGAGGCTCTTGATTTCTGGGAAAGATAAAATAGTTAGGCCCTTCAAGTTTGGGCTTGCGAGATCGAAGGTGGCTTTTTTCCTTGTAGTAGAGCTCTTTCTTTTGTAGATGCAGAAACCAATGCCCAACTGAACCATAGCAAAGATGAAGAATGCGCCTGTGGCTGCTCCAACTAGACAAGGAAGACAAAGCCTAAGAGGCTGCTCTGATAGAGGCAGTTGCTTAAGATTCGGGTTTACAGCTAATGGGTCTGAACATCCCTTGACAAAAGAGGTCGACCTTAGAGATGGATCTGCATAACCAGTCACATACTGAGTTTTCTTCATGGAGCACAGACCACTTCCATTATTGAAGTAGGTTGCAAATGTACACCGCGGATCATTCAGACACAACCGCTCACATTGCTGCAGACTACTTATGATAACTGATTCATCAGGGGGGTATATTCCATATAGAAATGTGCTCTTGAATGTAAGCATACTGAAGCCATATCCACACTCCTTATATGGGACCAAACAATTGATGCTGTTAGTGAACTCAAGGGGGCACCTACAATCCACGGCGCCTGAGTCAGTGAACCCACAGACACCACGCTGGCCACAAGTTGCAAAGACCTTGCATTGATTCTCAACAGCTTGCCAGACTGGCCTCCAGAGTTGTGCAGTTTCTATCCATGAATATAAGCGTAGATTACCATCTGAATCCAGCCTAAGAAACCTGTAATTCACAGAATCATTGTGGTCTTCTCCAAACACTGACCAAACAGGCTTCAAACTTTGTTCCCGAAGTTGCAGGGCTCCATTTGGGGTAAGAATAGCACTTAGATTTGAAGCAGAAGGGCTACTGCTGACCCAGTAAACAATACTGCTTTCCCAACGGAGCTGTAACTGACCAGAAGCGTTCAAGCATAGAGTGTAATAGCTGGACAATGAATTCTTGCTTGCAGCCCGGAGTGTTCGATCCACATTTAAACTCTGTCCTGGAAGAAGTGTATCAGAAGGATCATCAAAACTTTGCCAAGCAATGTTTCCCTCCTTGTCTAGTAGAACAAGGTTGCCATTATCACGAAGAGCAGCTGAAACAATAGATCGGTTGCCTGTTTTACTTTTACTAGTCCATGTAGGGATTCCCCATGAGGAATCAAACAGGACCAGTTCTCCTTGCTGGGTGAGATGGAAATAGGACCCATTACCAACTGTGATATCAGCTCCTGCAGTCCAGACAACAGTTTGCTGGCTAGTTGGCATAGACTTTGAATTGTAATGAACGCCAATTCTATACAGGTTAGGTTGCTCTGAAATGTTTAAGAATCCTAATGCAAAGTCACCGTTGGAGGAGACCCAACAGTCATTGTCAGTCACAAAAAGTTTGGAACCCAATGGAATCTCAGCGATCAAAGTGAAATTTAGCAAGAAGCCAATGCAAATGCATAGCAAGAACGGTGGTTTAAGGAAACAAAGTTCCTGTTCAAGCATTTCTAGAAAGGTTCTGTTGCAATATAAGGGATATTAGTATGTCACAAAGAAACCTGCCCCCAGTGTCACATGAAATAGTTTGCACATCATCTTGGTAAAATTTAACCTATGCTTGGGAAGGTATGAGGCAAGGAAGAGGATTTTTCTCAGGCTCCAATGGCACGGTCGTTCAACGGTGTAACGATAACAACTCGGTTACAGAATTTCAAGGAATATTAGGTCCACGACAAAGACAAATTTGAAGGGCCCGGAAAATTTCAAAATGAATCAAATACAATTGATGAAGTAAATAACCTGAGAGGAAAAGTCAAAATCATTGAGATTTAAGAACCCACCATAAACAACCGTCATAATCATCTCAGAAGCATAGGTATGCCCATGACAAATTAAGAAGGGAGCACCATAAGTTTGACACGCTATTTTGAAAGAGGCCAATAGCAGGATTGAAGGCCATGCACTGTAAACAGAAGAAGAATATAGGATATCTAGAAGCCGAAGGCCCTTTTTATCTAAAGCAAACAAGGATGAGAAATGAATTCTGGAACGTAAGCAGAAAGGTGGCCCAAATTACACCAATCGCAATGGATAATGCATTTTCAGAACACAATCACTTTTTAGGCAGCTGATAAAAGCAGAATCTTGCAATAATATTGTGGTTTGAATATAGCAGATTAACGTTGGTGAAAAGATGATAACAAAAATAATGAACTACACATACTCGATCTAGGGCCTCCATCAGAAAATTTGAAGTGGCGCTTAGCTTATTCGAAGGAGCAGAATTCGAGAAAGACTTCGCTCACTGAAAAGTGAAAAATTGCATTAGTTACAAGTTGCTGATTAAGGAGGAAGGAGAGAGAGTTAGCAATGCATCAATCAAACTGAACAGAAGAAAGGAAAAAGAGAATGGGAATGTGGATGATCCTGTGAATGCTAGATGCTAATGCGTTTAGATTTTGCAGTGAAAAGAGTTAGAATAAGAACAGGAACGGGGGGAAAGGATCACAAGTGGCAAGCAAGGAGACCCACATTCACAGTCCAAGATGCTCGTAGGGAAGACAGAGAACTCACAAGCCACTAGAAACCAGAACAGTAAGCAATCTAGTGTCCCCAGCCTAGTGAGCAAGAGAAAGCAAGAGGCTGGCCCGAGGAAAAGTTTTTTCCCGTGTGTGTGTGTGTGTGTGTGTGTGTCTATATATTATATACACATATATATATTGGCTTTCCTTCGGGTTGATTTCTTCTAATGATACCTTGTTTTTCTTTTTCGTGGAATAAGAATAACAAGAGTCAGGGTCATGCTATTTAATTTATTAGTTCGTGATGAAGCATCGGCATGACTCTCATTTTACAAGAAGTAAAATATTAAATATAGTAACATGCAATGAAGTTTAAATTAAGCAACATATTTTGTTTAAAGTGTATAGTGTGTGTATAAAAAAACTTCTGAGTAGAAAACATGTAATGTTTAGTGTTACTAATCAAATTAAATTTCAGTCAAGCTAGTCGACAGTCGCTCAAAAAATGATTTTTTATTAAAAATGAAAAGTGATGGCCTAAAAATAAAGGGGAAGAGAAATAAACAATATTAACAGAAGCACATAACATTTTAATTTAAAATCTTAAATTTATCAATTATTTTTTTATTATATAAAAATTATTAAACTCAACTTTATTAGATATATTACTTCTCACTATACTTAACAACCTAACAATTTTTTTCACAAAATTAAGATAGTGGTTAAGATTGGCATTTTATCTGGTTTCTTAATACTGCCTATCCGGCTATAGGTTGGAAATTATCTTCATTTCTAAGGACTCGTGATTCATGAGAAGAATATGCTCCGCACACTGGTGCCTTTCCACGCGTATTGGTTGAAAAAAATGAAAGCAAATGGGTAAAAAGTAAGTAGAAATTTCAAAAGAAAATGACAAAAAAATCCATTAAAATTAAGTAAATAATAGATTGATCCTACAAAATGGTACGATTTTCTTGGAGTCCCTTAGGATCTTTTTGTCATTAAAAAATCAAGTAAAATGACTAAATTATCCTCAAAGTAAACAAAAATCTCAATCCTCACTAAAGAAAAATTCGCTTGCGTTTAGGCTCTATTTCATCCTGTTCATGTTCTCACCTTCTTCTCTCTTTCGTGGTATTCTTCTAGTCCGTCTCCATCTCCTTCTCCTTCTCCTTCTTCCCCTTCTCCTTCTTTTTCTCATTCTTGTGTTCTCTCTTTTTAGTTTCTGTGTATGGATTTTTTATTGTTTAGTTGCTGTACATGGGTATATGTAAGCAAACATTCTTCCTCTATTGCATTTGTTGTATGTAGGTAAATTTTCTCTCCTCCTTGAAATTTTCTCCACCCATATGTGATAGTTAAAATTGATATGGTTAAATTATTTAGATTTCGGGAAGGTTGGGCCTAGTTTAGAGTGAGAAGCTCTACCTTCTCTCTACATTTCTGGAGAGAAGGTTCATTTTCTTCATCACTACCTTATCTCCTTCTCAATTCTTCTACTGCTCATGACTTCCAACTTTAAGTTTGATCGAAATTTCACCTTCTCAACATCTCCTTCAAAAAAAAGAGCCATGAATCCACCTACATTTGAGGAAGAAATTGATTTACTCAACAGAAATACCTCCAAGTTAGATGATGAAATGATAGACAAAGATCCAGAAGATCACCAGCACTCAAATAGTCAGATCCAACAGGATAGCCTCAATCAAAATGACAACCAAATAAATCGCCAAAAGGAACAGCCAATGGACATGCAAACAGATGAAATCCAAGGAATTAATGCTTCATCAAACAAAATAACAACAACAACAATCAAATGAGGCAAAATTCCTATCTCTTACAAAAAATCACTAATCGATTACAATGGATGCTATAGAATTCATACTGGGAGAGAAACCAAGCATAGAAACGAAACACTTGCCAAGGAACTAGAACAAGAATGGTCTCCTTCTAAAAGAACTATTTAATTAATGGATCAATACCCTACTCTACAAATATCCAATGAAGAATGGAAGAAAATATGTCAGCCTTGGATGGATGCTATTGTAATCAACACTTTAGGCCTCCAACTCAATCTAAAATCACTTAAACCTAACTTAGCAAAAATGTGGCAACTTAAGGATTTTGAACTGATCAATCTTGTCAACAGTTACTACATAGTTAGAACAAAAGATCACACTGCTTATGACAAAATTCTCAATGGTGGACTTGGACCTCATTTGATCATTGCATCTTAGTTCAAAGGTGGTCTCCTAGTTTTAATCCAAACTTGAATATGTTGGGGAAAATTGCCCTCTGGGTTAGGCTGTCAAATATCCCTATTTAGTACTATGACAAGGAAATCCTTTAGAGATTAGGAAATTGCATAGGCAAGACCCTTAAAGTTGATTCCAACTCCTTATCCAAATCGAATTCTACAGAGAAAAATGGCAAAACTGAGCGTGGAAATTTGTAAGAATAAGTGTAGAAGTTGACCTTCAGAGAAAACTTGTCCCTAGAATTCTCATTAGAGATGAGCTTTATAATGTTGAATATGAGAGCCCTAATCTAATCTGTTTCAGATGTGGGTACTATAGCCACAATAAAAATAATTGCTCTCATGCTCTAAAAAATCGAACCTCAAAGAAAGAAACAGGGCATGTGGAGCAAGCAACAGGGAATGTGGATATAAACTCAAGTATAAACAAAGCTCAAGTTTCAGCTGCTACCAAGGTTTATGAAAATGAAAAGAGAAATGAAAATCAACATACAGGTAGTTCATCGACTATTCATCCAGGTCTGCCAGAACAGGAGTTCAAAGACTTCATAAGATTCAGATGAGGTGCAAGACGATCCAAAAATGTGCAAGTTTCAAAAAATCCAACGAACAATCGATCACTATGTCAGAATCGAGACCTTAAACTTACATTTGGATCACGATACGACGTGCTAGCTGATCTCGACTAGGATGCCGTCGGACAGGGGAGAGATGGGAGACATGGTTCTACAGCAAATAATGGTCGACCTAAGCAATCCTCAGCTACAAAAGCTGTCAGAAAAGTATGGTGGAAAAAAGATCTCTCGGGTGCCAAAAGATCTCGCCCGAATAAAAGTGAAGTCACAACTGAAAATCTGAAGGGAAAAGGAAAATCTAAAGACAATCCTGATAAGGGCCACAAAACCACAAAGATTGGGCTGAGTTTCACATGGGATGGCCCAAATATGCTAAATATTGAAAAATCTGCCATTTATTCTCCTCAGCCCATTAACGCGTCTATCAAGCCCATAAAAAGGATCCATAATATCATCAAAGGAAGCAAATGAATTATGATCAATTCAGACAGGCCCATCAATGAAAATCCAACAAAGAACAAAGCAGAATTAGAAGCAATAAACAAAAGCGATAATGGCAAAACTTATGCTCCAGATTTTAATATTTGGAGAACTGACTATGATTATTCTGGAATCTCAATCAACAATTCATCAAACTCTTCTCTCCTTATCCAGAATAAACTACTTGATCCAATGGTTAGTCAGAATACTGTGCCCGAAACCTAGCTAAATGAGACTGATGCCATTGACTAACAAAATGACCAGTTGGATATTAATAATGCTGTCAATTTCATTCCTAAAAATTATGAAGATGACATTCTTAAAGAAGATCTCCTAGATGAGGATTATCAAATTCAAGTCCAAAATGAGGACATGGAAGATGATGAATTTAGTGATGATCAAATTGAAGACTCAGCTGAAACTTGCAATGACTAAACATTATCCAGGTTTACCTAATCCTTTTTTAATTCTATAGATATTATCTATTGAAATTGTAGAGGTTCTTGTGCTAAAAGTTTCCCTAAACGTGTAAAAGAAATCACTAAAATTTATAATACTCAAATCCTAATTCTTTTGGAAACAAGAGCTAGTGGTGCTAGAGCTGATAAAATTGTCAAGAAACTCAGTTTCTATGACTGGATTTGTCTGAAAGATACTGGTTATGCTGGTGGTATTTGGTTATTGTGGAATAATGATATTGTTAATTTTGATTATGTAACACACCAAATTTTTTTTTAAATAATTTAACTCAACCATAGTTGGGTTACAGCCACCCAACACATTTTTATATCAATAATTTTAATATAAAATATTTTATAATTGGCTTCAACTCACACACTATAACATTTCAGATAAATTTTTACCTCCCACATGCCATTAGGCTAAATCACATTTGTCCATCCTTATACTCCCAACAAGTAAACTAAATCACATTTGTCCATCCTTATACTCCCAACAAGTAAACTAAATCACATTTGTCCATCCTTATACTCCCAACAAGTAAAATAAGCAATTTAGTCAATTTTCAACACAAGCCAGTTATTTGGCCTTATAATCATGCCATTTTAACCAATCCAAAGTAAATCAAATATTAAAATTACAGTCATCCAAATTGTACCAAAAATAGAAATAGTTTGAAAGGCATGATTACATTTATATATTCATATAATTGACAATAAACAAAAAGCCTTAATATTGACAATATAACACATTATAAATCATAAATTAAATACCCAAAGAGACAGTGGATCTATACCACTAAGCCTCTGGGACTCCTCCACGTGTCACTCGTGGCTCTTCTCCTGAAAATTGTTAACCACATAATGAGACTCAAAAGTCCCAGTAACCAAAGCCAATTTATGATAGTGTATACAAACAGTTAAGTGTGTGTTTACTAAGTGAGAATTAAAAATAATATAATTCCAATAAATATAAGAAATAATACAATACACATAAACAACCATCCTTATATCCCTCCATTAACCTCGAGCCGTAGCCCTCACTCGGTGCTAAATTACCCGGCTAAAGGTAGATTAGCCCGAGCCCTTATAAGCCACCTATTGAGCTCCAATAGGGGCGTACCATGTGGCACATAAATACAACAACAATAGCAAGTCTCCCAACACCTCCCACAATAATCAAATAAATTCATAATAATATTGCACAATTATATAATATTACAAAATTTATAAATTTCTCAATAATCACCCAATTAACATGAAGTAACACTAATCACAAATTAAAAGCATGGTTACCTTGTGGCTTTTTCAATAAATTATTCCTTAAAATTTCTCTCTCACCACAATCTTCACCAGTAATACAATCTACAAAT